CAGAATGTCCCATTCCACCCCCTCAATCTAAGCCAACATCATCTGGATTATAGCAATAGCCTCCTTCCAACCTTGCCCCTTCCCTCCTATTATTTATTCTCACAGTAGCCAGTGATCTTTTAAATCATACATTTTATCATGTCATTCCTCAGTACAAATTATTTCAATGGCTCCCCAACTCACTTGAAGAAAAGAAGGAAGGAGGGAGGGAACGAGGGGGAGAAGTGGAGGGAGGAGAGATGAAGGGGCGAGGGCGAGGGAGGGAGGGAGGGAGGGAAGGAGAAATAATATTTGCAATATCCTCTAAGGCTGGTATGATGGATGGCCTGCCTCCTTATGACCTTTTGCTACTCTCCCCCTGGCTTATTCCACTCCTGCCACTGGTCTCCTTGCTGTTTTGTGAGCAAGCCAGACATGACGCCACCACAGCACCTTTGCATGTCTCCCTGGAAGGCTCTTCCTGCAGAGGTCCCCATGGCTCTCTCCCTTACCTGGTCCAGGTGCTCATGCGGCACTGTCACAGTGGGGTCTTCCATGGCTACCATATTTAAAGTTACCAACTGGCTCCCGTCCCCTCTGACATTCCCTCTCCCTCTTCCCCACATTAGTTTCTCATAGAACATATTACCACCTAACACTGCATATTTTCTTTTTTTTTTTAAAGCCTCAGCCAAGGACATGCTTACTGACTTGTGAGAGAGGGGAAGGGAAAGGAAGAGAGAAAGAAACAGCAATGGGTTGCTTCCTATTAATCCTCTGACCGGGGATCAAACCTGCAACGTAGGTATGTGCCCTGACTAGACTCGAACCCACAGCCTTTCAGTGCATGGGATAATGCTCCAACCAACCGAATCACACCAGCCAGAGCACATCATATTTTCTTATTTATTTCCTTATTTTCTGCCTCCATCCCTCTATGATTTTTGTGAGTTTTATTCACTGTTTTATTTCCAGATACTTTTGCCTGTTTCATTCACTTCTGTGTTTTCACCTTAAACTGTGATTGGCACAAGTTGGTCCTCAAATGTTTAAGGAGAGAGACAGAGAGAGAAGCCAATTCCAAGTTCCATAAGAACAGATGCCATGTTTTATCCTTCCTTTTTATGCCATTGGGTAGGGCCCAGAAAGAAAGTAATTGTTGCCTGATTAGTGTCATGTTTGCATTGGCAAATGTAAAATATTAGGTCATTCAGACTGTTGGACATGTTAAATGTAGACAGTGTTGATGCAATATTAAAATATGTAACTATTCTTAAAGCATTTCAAAACTAAAATTAAGCTCATAATCTCTATTCAAGTATGAACAATTCTCAAAATCACCACTAAGAGGCAATTTCTTAAGTGTTCCCCCCAAAATCACACAAGTATTACCCAAAAAAGATGGGAAAGGAAACTTTAATACTGTCAGGTGGGTGAATTACAGCAAAGAGAATCAATGTCAATGCCAAACCACAAAACAAGTCATTTGGGTTCTGCCAATAGGTTGGCAAGCTGTAACGTTGGTGATGACCTAGACAAATTGTTAGGAAATTATGGAAATTGGGGGAATACAACAGAGAAAAGAGGAACCTTTCCCCTCCCCTGTCATCTCTCAAACAAATAGTCTTTAACTAGGAAAACTTACTTCTAAATAAGTCTGAGCAATGGCTATGTCAGGGTTTGCAGTGAGTAATGAACTCGTGCACTGTTCACATGTTTAAGGGAGTAGAAAAGGTGGCTTCTGAAAATAAGAGAGTTGAGTTAAAACCTGAGCACAGCATGGCTTGGGACCCTCACTGAGACAACTCAAGGAGGTGAGAAACGAGACTTCTGAAGCAAGCCAATATTGTCTTTTATCACTTGGGGAAAAAATAGCTATCAATTGTTCACCAAATTTCAAAATTCAATTTAGGGCTTAAAAATAAAATAAATGTATCCAGCTAATTCCAATTTTTTAACAAGACAAAATAAAACCTAAATAGGAATATTGATGTCTCACCAGAAATAAGCTTGATTCAAATAACAGAACTTTTGACAAAGATTCTTAAACATTTTAAATATACATGGAGGATAGACAACCAAACCTTAGAAAGAGAGCAATATGTAAATGTAATGTACTTGTAAAGGGAAATTAGTCTCCAATTTTGGCTTTTGTTTCTTAAGCTTACCTAATAAACTATTTCTTAAAAACATATAAAGGAAACCAAACTCATAGCCCACTGTAAATTGTCTACTGTAGATTATCTATAGGTTAGCTATCAATTCTGATTACTCCAATTTTAGAGAATTCACAAACTACAATGATTGCAATATGAAAAAGAGCCATTGTGAATTCTTACTCTTTCTAACCCCAAAAATTACAGAGGACCATGGTGTATTCCCCCACCCCAACAACCTCTGGAAATGGAGTTGTTTCAGTAGAAGGAGGCATAATCCAGTCCTAGCCATGCCTCTACTCCCTTCCCCAGAACACCCTAGCTTACATCAGCTCCTCTTTGAACAAGGGGTAAGTCTGGCAGGCGCCAAACAGAAAATCTAAGCTTAGTATTGGTGGGGCGAGGTGTGAAAATATCTGTAATCCTGAAGATGAAGGGAAGAACAGTGAACATTTGTATGTGTTCAGCATTCATCTTTTCATCTTTATGTTACAGCTCTGTGATTAATTGCATTGCTTTGCTCAGGTATGCCTGTCAGAATAAAATCTGGGTCTTTTATAAACTGCTCTTTTCTGAAATATTATCCCCTCTACTAATATAAATGTTTCAATATTGTGTGTGTGTGTGTGTGTATGTGCGTGTGTGTGTGTGTTTGGGAATCATTATTTGTGTTCTGACTGCACGGAACTTTGCATAATCTAAATAAATATAAAAGTAGAGGGGAAAATGCATAGCTTGCAGGTTTGCACTATCTTAACAGTGCTGTTCTCTTAATGTAGATGCAGAAATTTTCTAACAGAGCACATTTTTGATCGAAAGGTTTATATACAACACAAACTCTTCTACAGAAGATGCAAGGCTAGCTAGAAAAGATACAGGAGGACAGACAAATGATCTAATTGTGGATTCATATAACTTCAAACCCAGATTGACCGCACACAAGCTCGTCCAATATTTGGTGTTGTGCAGGACACTTGACCTTCAAAATGGGTTCAAACAGGTTGGGATTCACTGAATGCTGCACCTCCTTTCAGATGTTTAGAGTGATCTTTCAGATACTAAAAGTCCTGAAAAGTCTTGCAATAAAAAATATTATTTAACCCATTATTTCTAGGTATATTTGACCATTGTACATTTTTTTCCTTCATCATCTCACAGAACAGTGTCCCTTTTGGAAGATCCTGCTCTAGAAATGCTGAGCTTGTACAATCATTTTATAAATGTGGAAACTGATGTTCAAAGCATAGCGTGATGAGAGTTTAAACTAAAAGTGGGAAATAAAAATAAGCAAATAATCCAAACATCTTTCCTTTCTACCCTTACCTCACTGCAACATAGTTGCCTCCTCTATGTCTCTGTCTCAATCCCCTTGGGTTCTTATATCCCTTCAACCTTTACTTGCCTACTTGACCAATATATGTAGCTACATATATGAAACCAGCCCGGATTCATTCATTAGCAATCATGTCCATCCCCTCTGGGAAACCTGTGATCTCTCGAACTCTAAAGGTGAGACAATGACTTACCAAGGGAGTGGCTTTAA